TTTAACCCTTGGCTATGCCTACTATCTGCGCATATTTTACAGAAATATTGAGTTAAATCAACCAAAACCAAACTATTCCTATTTGGATTTCCATTACAAATATTTCGGTAAACAATAAGAATATCTAAGACCAATCAGGTTGACAGAAACGTCATTTTCCACGAGCGTTATGCAAAACCATCTTATAATCGCTTTCAGTTCTTCATGGTGTTTTACAGTATACTCATGGAAATATTTATTTTGACGCCATCTATAATATCGTTTACAAGTCTCTCATTGACGTCATATTTTCTCCGTAATTCTGACAAAGTAATACAAAAACAAAGAGATAAATTTGACTTAGTAAAATACTCTTCATTGATAAAAAATGATTTTTTTTTTAATTTCGTCTTTTAATTGCATTGGAGTTATGCAATCTATAAAATGGAAAAACTGTAAAAGTTTCATGTCTGCATAAGTCTAGATGTTCACTGACTTAACTTTCACGGAATTTTGACACGTTTGCACACGAACTCTATTAAGATTTCAAGGAACGGCATATAACTGTCTAAGGTCTTAGGTAATACATTGTACTTCTAGAGTCAGCACTTCAAGCTAATATGATGGACCAGGAATTAATACAGGTTGTGTCTTGGTTTGGTGTTTTGCATTTTTTATCTACAGAGAATGATGCATGTGGTGCGTTCATCCCACAATTCTTGTTTTAGAACCATTTTAAAAGGTTCAGAATTTAAAAGGATAAACATTTCAATATGGTGTTTTTGACAACTGGTAATAGTATCCTGCAATATTAATTAGTTATTGACATACGAATTTCATCAATCATTTCAATACTCAGAGGTTCAAAGCAATAAATAATTAAAATGAAATTTTCTCGTCTTTCTCTGGATTTTCAAATTATTCTATAGTACTGAGTACAGAAATTTCTTTATTCAAATATTTGCATTTCTGAATATCATTACCTTCAAGTCATGATAAATATGTACAATTTTCGACATTCTTTCATCTTGCTTAAGCAATATATTTGATCAAAAAGTTAAAAATCTGTGTGAATCATCTTTATCTATAAAATTAAATGTGATTAGGAAGCATTTAAGTAAAAATTTATATAGCAAAACATGAAAATAATAGGTTTGTTTCATTTTTTTCGTAATTCTTTTCCAGATACATGTCCGGCAGGTACCAGAAGTGTAGCTTAGATAGGTGAAAATGGTCTAGTTATTGAAGGTCATTATCAGTGGAACCACGTTTCCTTGACCATGTATTCCAGCAACTGGTTTCCAGGTGAACCATGTGCGATTTCTCCAACACAAGGAAAATAGAGGGACTGTTTTGATATAGTCAGAAATTGCCAGTGGAATGAGACGCTCTGATGGCTATTGACAAATAATTTGATGGAGCAAGAATATCAACAGTCTCGTTTAAAGTCAACATTTCGAATATTCTTTGGTCGATACAGTGACCTTGCACTAACAATCTATCATTAAGTCGAAGTTTGACTGACGTTACGTTTTTCATACAAATTCTTAGGCTACAGTTCTCACACAGAATTGTCTACGACTTTTTAGTTTTTTTTTTTGTTTTGTGTGTGTGTGTGTGTGTGTGTGTGTGTGTGTGTGTGTGGTTTCTTTTTTTTTTTCTTTGCGTTTGCCAGATAATGACAAAGAATACATTGGTGGTGTGACTGGTCGACAGGGGATGCTCACTCCACCATGGCACCTGATCCCTACTTTGATGTCAGCTCTTCTCCCGATATGTAATATTTAAATGGACTTTTTAGCTTGATTACTATTCGTTGTATCATTTTTAATAAAAACCCGATGTTGTTTTATTACCGCAGACTATATTTGTACCAAGGTTTATTATTATTGGAACAAGCCTCTTGATTGAGTAGCAGACATTTTGAATTTCACAAATTATTAGTTTTGCTATGATATTTAGAATAGAGGCTATAACAACACGGAAATACAAAAAGTGAAATACAAGTGAAATACAAAATTCTGTGCAACAATTTTTATTAAAAATGGACTAAGTCTGTAAATGGAGTAACATTTAACTCCAGAAAATTTCTGTTTTTTTTTTTTTTAAAAAAAAACTAAAGAAACACTGATTACTGAATTTTAAAAAGAAAAATTATTTCACGGAATTCCATCACGTCAAAGTGTTCACACCTTAAATAATTTAAAAACAAAAAAAAGCACCCTTTAAGAATGTCAGCATTGCGCGTGCAGTCATGAAAATAAATAATTTTGAAAATATATGTAGAATCGATATCTTTAGTCGTCACAATCGCGGCATGTTTGACTCGGCAGTTGGCAACGACACTTTTACTGAATGAATATGTAGTGGAATGTAGATATGCAGGCTCAGATCCAAATACTATTGTGACATGACCGGTAATGTTTTCCTTTGAAGTTCACTGTACAATAACTAAATTACAGAGCAGTTTTTAGTGGGCGGTCCTTATGCAAATGACCCCAACTGTACAATAACTAAAATAGAGAACACTCAGGGTATCAGGGTAAATCAAATTTATTTTTAGAAATTAACAAACAGAATGACTAGATTTTTATCTCGTTACAAAATAAAAACTCAAATAGAAACAGAGAAAAATAGTAAACATTTTCTTTATACTGTTGACAAATATCACTTCATAGAAAAAGTAAAATTGCACATATTAAACAATGCCGGCATAGAACTTAACTCCTTGAATGGTTCACGCATTGCGGATTCGTTCCTGGTTTCATTGCACAAGGGTTTGTCGACACCTAACTGTAAATCACCATGGAAGTGCTTGGAAGGCGGGTCATCATTTTCGGTTTCCAATGGCCTCATCTCAGATTTACGTGGCGGATCTAGAACTTGTGACACTTTTTTTAGCATTCCCGAGCTGCAATCTTTGTACTTTCGCACTGCATCGGATCGATGTCCGGCCTTTTCATAATTTCTTGCTCAGGGACTCCCGCGATGTACATTTGAGTTGCACATGTGCGTTTTCCGCTATGATTTGTGAAATTTCCAGACAAGTCACCTTTTTCTGCTATCACCTTCATGAAATTTTTAAGTTTGTTTATGCCGACGTTTTGGTGAGAATAACGAATTTTTACATCTCCCAGTGGTGGCAGTGGGCGCCGATAGAACGGTCCCCCTCCAATTGCCTTTAGATACGCATCGAAGAAATCGATTATGCATCTTTCTCCTATATAAGTAAACAAAAAACTAGTTTTCATTTGAAACACAAATTCAACCAACAATGGAGAGAGAGAAGAGGGGTTTACAGTTGATAAACAAACATAACACATAGTTCTAGCACCATATTAGGACACAATTTTTCGCTGTTATTTCAAATTGGAAATGTATTGAACAAAACGGCCATAAATAGAGAGAGAGAGAGAGAGAAAGATTTTAACATACCTGGATCAGAGTAGTGTTTGATGTTTTTGTTCTGAACATTCGACTGGCCTAATCCTCCTTTATAAGTCTTGGAAGATCGTCCCACGAACTTAATATATTTTCCATACTCGTCAGCGCCGGTGAAAAATTGTTCAGCTGTCAAACTATAGTGCTCGTCACATCCTCTGAGCCCCCAAAAAAACATTGTCAACTGCAATTGTTCTCTGTTCTCTTGTCCAAAGACTCCCTTCTCCCACAGTTTCTCTTCCTGTTCCGGAAGTATCGGGTCTGCACATTTTATGTCACAGCCATGTCCTTTATCAATGAGATTTCTCATTTGTGCATCAGCAATCTTCCGAAATCCAGCGAATTCTGTATTTTTCTCATCCAAAAAATTTTTGTCATATATTCCTTTGTCTCGTAGGTGCCTTAACAGTCCACATAATATCAGATAAATTGATTTCGGTGGGTACTCCGTCCCGTCCTTTTTTCTCATTTCTACCACGAACCTTTCAAGCCAGTAACCCATTTCTTTGGAGTCCATAACGTGAAGTTCAGGAATGTTTTCATCCCTGTTCTCTCGCCATTCCTCGAATTCATTCATTGCCCATTTCGTATTGCTTTTTGTGTTCGCATTCTCCTGGTCGGACACGAGTTTGTTTAGCTCTTCGTCTGTTACCGGCGTCCTAAAGCGCGTAGATTTTTCTTCATCCTGTATCTCGAATTTGACGATAGGGTTAGTGTCCATACCTAACGTTACATCAAAAGCGCCATAATTATTCGCAATTGCATTTTCTTCTTTCAGATTCAGCGATAAATCACATATTCCTTCAAATGCTCATTCTCTAAAGTTTCGCATATTTGAGATAGTGTAATATCGCCTATATCATTGTCCCACGCAGCAAGAATATCGATATCCATTACGTATATACATCCATATCCGTCTGACCTTCCATTGCATCACCGTCTAAATGATTCTCATAAGCACAATTCGCGCTAGCGCAAAATGCATTGTTTATTGATTGGTCACTTCGTCAACTTAACCTTTAACTTTTTATACTTTATTCAAATTAGTTATCATTACAAAATTTGATTTGCTGTAAAATTACACAGATACAGAATCTTCAAAATCTAAAAATAATCGAACTGTCATGTCACAAGTCATTTAGAATACTCGTTTCTTATTGTATGAGAGATACAGGGCGGGGCGCGGCTCCAGCTAGCGCTCTCGCCTTAAGCCCCGCCCTGTATCTCTCATACAATAAGAAACTCGTACTCTAAATAATACTTATTTCTGTGCCTGGATTTTCAGTCCCGCTATTAACTTGCAAGGGATAACTTTAAAACAGTTGTGGATCATTGAATTCATACTACGACTATCACTATCTACTTCCTTTGTAATTTCGTAAAAAAAAAAAAAAAACTGGATAAAGTAGCATGTTTTTCATTTCTGTTTTTATCAGTCTAATGGAAAAGATTATAATTTTATATCTTTGTGTTGAGACAGAACCTTCTTTTTCGCAATTCTATGTAGCCGAACCCGAGGCAGACACAGACAGTAAGGTTAACCGCATCATTTACCAGGTTTTGGCAAGTTCTCGATTAACATGGGGCGCAATATGTGTCACGACAAATGCATGTTATTTGGGTACAACGAGAAAGATAAAATATGCTACCTACACATGCAGACTCAGCAAAACTTCTTGACAGATTCTGAGGAAGGAATAATGTACTACCAGAAAACAGAGAAAGGTAAGAAACACATTATATAAATGATATATAAATGATATTTTACATTTTCTTAAATGAGGTAATTACCTACCTATAAATACAAAAAGGACTATATTCTCATATTTCAACACGCTGCCTTTCAAATCAAATTGTTTTGGAGAAATCTATAAAAAGATGAAAAAGACCACGTTGCAAATGTCGTAAGGATTATTCTTTTTCTTTTAAAATGTATTGCTACTTAAGGTAAACATTTTAGATATATATTAAAGAATCTTAATATAAAATTCAAGGGCAAAATGCGAACTATCTATTCTTCCGTCTTCAGTAGACTGGAAGTGATAAAAGAATTACCTTTGAGAGACTACATGAAAAATATGTTTTGGTTTCAGCCTACAAAGCTTGTAACTTTGTAAGGTTTATTATTTCAACTGCATTTTAGAAGAACTAGCTTTTATTTCCACATCTGGTAATCCAATCTCTACTCAGAGTTCAATTTCAAAAGATGCAATTCTTCAAAATCACCTTTCAGTTTTGAATACTTTTAACATTCCAGACAGTGAAGTGAGTTTGATTTACCGTATCTATACTGAATTCTAAAGCTTCTTAAAAATAATTACAAGCAAGGAAATGTTCAATTAAGCTGCCATCTTTATTCCTCGCCAAAATAAAAACTGTAGTGAAGGAGAAACTTTAGACCTATTGTGCAAATGCATTTAATTAGAGTGGTGTAAAACAAATGTGGAATCTAAAAGATCCCCAAAGAAACATCTAAAATCTCAAAACTTAACCAACTAATAACTGTATGACAATCGAGATGACTTCAGTTTTTCTATCGTCGACTTCTCTTATTTATGTAGTAATATTCCAGCATCACCTGCATATGGTATTTACGTCTTCCTACCGATTTGACACTCTAAAGCAGGATTTCAGTACGACTAATTTTATGTCCAAGATTTCTTTATACTAGAATTTCTTTATACTTTATATTAGAATACTTTCTGTTTACGAAGATTTCCTTATTACGAATATCCACGATATCATATCGATATCGAATCATGATTGTTCAATGGATTATGCTATTATGGTTTTTTTAAGATTTGAATTACTTGAATACTATCCTTTTCCTGTAGTGTCGATATCTTCGATATCGATGATATCGCTTCGATATCGAATCATGTATGCGCTACCCTTCGTTGGTACCTTCCATGCCATTGTGTATGTGTTTAGACAAGTTTTACTGTAAATTGTCCGACATGTTTGTTTCCATTTCTTAGGTCGTTGCTTTTGTACTAAATTTGACTAGGGAGAACTCCATATACCAGAACAATACATAGGGCTCACAGCCAATGTAGCCGGTCAATCATCAGAGGATGCTTTCTCCTCCTCGACAACTGATCCTACCGCGGTTTATTTCCAGGGATTTAGGGGTTTTTGCCTTGTTCACGATTCGTTTTGTTTACTGAATTGATAAGATTGATCGCTGTTCGTTATTTACATATTTTACGTAATACATTTACATGTTCGACAAACTGTGAGCCTACTTATTTTAGAAGTAACAATATTTAAGCGCCCTTTCCGCTGCTTCTTGTCCGTTAAGTACACGTAAAGTATACGTTAATATACACTTCACAAAATTAAAAACGCACTGCTAAATATTCTCCTCAGTAAATACAACATTTTCCAAATCGTAAAGAGTAACTCTCCTTTTAGGCCATCTTGCCCATGAAGTGGAATTTCCGGACGATGTGGTTTTTAAAACACAAGACAAAAATCAATTTTCCGAAGCTGACTGTGTACCGTTTGTACATTGGTCACGGTTGAAGATCAGTAAGGTTGCAACAGCTGTGGTATCCCCGTTTATAAAATGATATGGAGCGATATGTCTATCATATCGCCTAGTAATCATCTTTCGCTTTGGCATCTGTATCCGGTCCACCTCATTTCCGATTGCCATAAATTTGCGATACAGTATTGTAGCTGTCGTATGGTGACTATTGAATGTCGTGTCAACCTACATAATACTTTTTTTCATATATTTTTCAATCTTATAGTGTATTATTTAATTAGAAGAAACAAAAATCTTATAATTACTTGAAATTTTTACAAGCCTCTCCATAGGAATACCCTTCAGATGAATACTGGCTGGCCTTCCTATCTTTTTTTTATGGTAAAAAGCCTCACATATGGTGTCAGGTTTTTTCTATGATAATCATTTAATAAATGCAAACATAATGAACCCAAGCAAAAGAGAAAATTAAAAAAAAAAATTTCAAAAGTGTGTGCATAATTTTCAGGCATCAGTATATTATTTCAGTAAATATTGTATTCATTTATCATTTTCGACATTTTAATATCTCATTTTTTTTAGATATTCATCAAATACAGCATAAATAAGTTTGGAAAAAGTGTAAATCAATTTTCTGTGATTTTGCTGTGGCAATATTGTCTAATGTATGATCAAAACGAAAACATATAGAAGCTTTGCTGCAACTATGTTAATTTATGATCAGGCTAAGCAGTTAGCGATGAAGAAAGCTCTTAATTTTGAGTGTTCTGATTTATTTACGTTTGCAGTACTTTCAAATTTATATAAATTGTGATATCTGCTTCTGATCAGTTTGTAGATTATTTTTCATATCACACTGAAAGCTAAATGTAACATCGCTGATTGTCTTTCATCTAAATGTACTTTCTTATCTGATGATTTTTCATACCAATATTTCACATTGATAAGTATGGGTGTAATATAAATAGGTTGTGGCTCGCAGTGGCTGGAGTATAGGAATCATTGCTACTTTCATAATCAGATGAAAGCCACATGGACTGAAGCTAAAGTAATATATGAATACACATTTCTTTTTTATATTTTGTAGTATTTTGTCAAAGCCTATCATTGTAGCGAAACTCTACAAAAGTTAAATGTGTATAACAGTTTCTTATAACAGTAAAACTTAGAATTGAAGCTACGTTTATAAACATATTGTTAAGGAAAGTAATATTTAAATCATAACGTCATCATTGCCATATACATTCCATTTTGGATATTCAATCCACGTGTATATAATTAATAATGCTTACATACGGTTTGAGTCATTGAGAAAAATTAAATCAAAATGATTTTATTTTAGTTGTGGTGCGAGTCCAGATATGCTCACCTGGTAGAAATAGAGAGTAAGGAGGAATCTGATTGGCTGGCCAGAACGTTTCTTTTGAAAGGTTAGTTGCATACACATTTAAATTAAATTGTTCAATTTACATCTAGTAAAAAAATCTTTCAAATATTGTTTCAAAATGTATAACGAAAAGAAAAATGTTCCAAGGGGATTCTAATTATCTCTTTCTGTTCCGAGTATAAACTGTCTTCACTTATTTTTCTACCGTGTACTCTGTATATAAATCAAAAATCTGGGAAAGAAACAATAAGAGTAGCATGCTTTCATTAAATCAAAATATTTTCAAAAAAAATCATTGTTTTAAACCTTTTCAAAGATACCATTCTGTTATTGCGAAAAAAAAAATCTGAATGTGTGCTCTAATTTTACAGCAGGTGCCTTCCTATATTTATTTGTTAATAAAATCTAACTAAATCATCAAACAGAAATATTCTGAAAATTACTAATACTTCTGAGTTCAAAGAAAATTCTGGGGTTTTTTTCCCCAAGATTTTTAAAGATTATTCCATTATGAATATATATATATATATATATATATATATATATATATATATATATATATATATATATATATATATATATATACGATTACCAACTTAGGTCCGGAGTAGGATATCAACCCGACTTGGGTGCAGTTGCTCACTTTAAAGAAAATAATAAAATTTTTGTGCGATTTATGATTTATTATGATAGAGGACAGAGGGATAGAACGAATTAAAGAGAAAACGAAGGGAAATTCGGAGAGATTTAAAAAAAACGATGATATATATATTTTCAACAGCACCAAAGTCGGTGATACAAACAGCACCTAAGTTAAACCCAGAGTTAAATGCTGTTAAGGGAGAAAACTGCAACGTTCTTGTCTCTAATGTATAATGATTTTCGTCTTTAGTCCATAATAAAATGTTTTAACCCATTTACTTGATCAGTACATTGTATATGATTAGGTTTGTTCTATGCGGTATTTTATTCTTTTTATTATGAAGAGAATAAAAGAAGAAAGGCCTTTGACATATTTTAAAATATTAATTTCTTACTTCATGAAGTAAGGTAAAAGAGATCTAAATCATGTTTATTAAATTAATCTCCGCAAAAGCTTATCACGAAAAGTGATATGAACATCGCTTGATTATTGTCATAGGAAATTATAATCCACCTATACACTTTCTTTAAAATGTAGCTACGTCAAGTTATCCAATGACAATAATTTTTTTTTTTTTTTTTTTTTGTTTTGTTTTTTTTTTTTTTTTTTTGTTATGTTTTGTTTTTTTTGTTTTTGTTTTTGTTTTTTTTTTGTTTTGTTTTGTTTTGTTTTTTTTTTTTTTGTTTGTTTGTTTGTTTTTGTTTGCTTTTTTTTTGTTTTTTTGAAATCGTTAAAGATTGATTTTAATAATTTCTCGTAAAATTTAATCATTAATCTATTTTGTTTTTATAAAAATAGAAAACTGACAATACTGTAATTAACATGCTTTAACATTTTGCACTACTTTAAAAAAAATCTTTGTTTTGCATTAGGGGACGACCATTTGATTCTAAAAGGGGGGGGGAGGCAAACATTTTCGAGCCAGATTATTCATTTTCAATTCATTCAAGGACAGATTATTTATTTTCTTCTTCTCTGAAAAAAGTTTGAAAAGTTAAAAAAAATTAATAATAATATTATTTATTTTCTTGCCAGTCGAGGACAGATATATTTTTAATATTTTCGAGGACAGATTAATTAATTTCCAAATTAGACACAGATTATTTATTTCCAAAATATACCACCCCCATCCCAGAATTTTGAGTCAGATAATTTATTTTCATGTCATTCAAGGACAGATTATTTATTTTCTTCCTCTCTGAAAAAAGTTTGAGAAGCAATGATGATAATAATAATAATAATGATAGTGGGCAACGACAGTTTATTTATTTTCTTTCCAGTCGAGGACAGATTATATATTTTTAATATTTTCGAGGACAGATTATTTATTTCCAAATTATACACAATATTATTTTATTTCCAAAATGCACCACCTCATCCCAGAATCAAATGGTCGTCCCCTTAAAAAACAAAATGATTAAAATTATAATTAAAGAAAATTAAGATTTAAAAACCTTAGAAATCTAGGCACGGCCTCTTCGTATGGCAGCAATGACAATGTGGATACTGTTGGGAATCTTTAATGTCCACAGTGTAACAATGTGATGGGACTTCTTTACAATACACAAAGCCATAGGCGGAGTCATGGATATCGGTGTTACAATAAACCTATTATACACGATGTCTCCTTTGATTCACTAATACCCTATGTAAATAAACAATTAGGTCTTCATCACATTTGCACCAAACTTTAATCTGTCTCTTTGAAAGGTTTAAATAATCTACTCGACACAGTCCATATTCGGATCCTTCGATATCAGAATACAGGCTCGGATCTGTGATTATGGATATTGAATATCATATTGTTTTTTAAGCCGCCATGTTTCACGAAGAAAATACTACTTAAACAACCCGTTTGTTCCTTTAACTTCAATATATCTATATACCTATAAAGGAATTGACGCAGTTAATATAAGTAATATTCTTAATCACAAAAGGGTCCAGTCTTGTTTCCACAATATTTCAAGTTGAAGTCCACACTTTGTATTTCTTACAAATATACACAGACTATTGCTTCCAAACTTTTTAATTACAAAAAACTCTACAGTGCCTAGATATCGAACATCTTAAACAAAATCCTCCAAAGTTTCATGTTCTTCACCACCCTACAACTATATTCCTGCTGGACACGTCATTATTGGTGACGCAACATAGTTAATAATGAGAACCTTAAATCACTTATTTTAAAAGGGCCAAAATTTAGGGAACCCTGTGACGGTACATATTGTCGTCGGCAACACTATGTACATACCCTAACTGTACATATTGTCGTCCATCGGTGCATATTGTCGCCGACGACAAAAACATTATTTTCCTCCTGTATAATGAACGGTAGTATGTGCGACATATTGTCGTTGATATATTGTTTTGATGAATATTTACTAGGGTCGTGGAGAGAGAGAGAGAGAGAGAGAGAGAGAGAGAGAGAGAGAGAGAGAGATTGACAAAAACGCAAACACAGAAACACACACGCACGCATAGAGGGAGTCAGACAGATACAGTGCTGCTATCCCACAAGTTGACATGGGATGGGATTGGATAGGATTCAGGATTGAGAATTCACGATAGAAATATATAGTAGTTAATCCCATCCTATCCTGTATCCTACAGCCAATCAGATTCGAGTAAAGGTTGATTCATATTTCAGAATTAATTACAAAAAAGGAATATGATTTGAAACGTTTACAAAAGAAATATCTATAAAATACAATAGAAAAAAAAAACATTTTTTTTCTTAACACACATTAATTATTAACTTCGAAGCATTAACTTCGAGTAACATGGCGTACGATTTAACCGTGAACAATCACCGGAAGAATATTCGCATGTAAACAACGAAGAGTTCGGACATTGACTGGTATTGCCTGTCTCTATCGTTCGAAAGAAAAAAAAGAAAATATCGCGCATATCAGACAGGCAAGCCAGTCTAGCGGGGTGTCGGGAATTAATGGATGTCGATCTCGATTATTTTTCCTCGATTAAAACATATTAAATAAATGAAGTATATAATTATAACTGATTTTTATATGGTCGTCATTTTTTTTTTCGTTTTGTGAAATTACTCTTAAATATTAAAAAACTGAAAGTAGCAGGATAGGATAGATAGGATTAGACTGAAATCACAGGATAGGATTGTGGATGCAGGATTCACGATAGGATAGGATTGTCAACTTGTAGGATAGCAGCACTGTAGCGTTGCTCGCAATACTTTGGGGAGAATACGTTGTGTCCAGGATCGGTGTAAACGACTATATATTAGGATGTTACTGTTTTGTCTTCAGTAGTAATAATTATCTATAGATATAACAGTTTTGTTTTTTTTCCTCATTCCACATTTCCACAGTTCCACATTTTAGATCACCTGAGATGAAAGCTCGAGAGAGCTTTTCTGATCACTCGTTGTCTGGTGTCCGTCTGTCTGTCCCTCCGTCTGTAAACTTTTCAACTCCTTGTAAAACCACTGGGCAAAGATTGTACAGAACATCCTTGGGCAAGGGGGTCTTATGTTGTTGAAATGAAGGACCAAGCCTCTTTCCAGGTGAGATAATCACAAGGTGAGATAATCAAGGAAAGGTAAACATAAGGTAGTTCATTAAAAAATCATTTTCTCAAGAACCACCGGACAAAAAAAGCTTACACTTATGTAGAGGGTACCTTAGGTAGTGTATATTTAAATTGTTCAAATTATGACCCCCCTAGGGTAGGGTTGGGCCTCAAATTTGAATCAAATTTTACCATTGAAATATTTAGGAAAAATCTTTTTCCAGAACCACTGGGCTAGATATAAAGAAAGTAAGATGAAAGCTTCCTAAAATAGTGTTGATTCTAAATTGTTCAGATCATGGTCCCCGGGGTTAGAGTGGGGCCACCATTGGGAAGTTTTATGATGAAAATATTTAATTATATATTACTCTTCTTCTGAAGAACTACTATACCAGAAAAGATTTTCTCCTGGGGTAATGTAGATTGTAAATTGTTCAGATCATGACACCACAAAAGGGGATAAAAGTTTAATATTGAAATATATAAGAAAAATCTTTTCTTCTCAAAAACCACAGGACCAGAAAAAGAAAGTTATGTGGAAGCTTCCTAAGATAATGTATATTGTAAATTGTTCAGATTGTGGTTCCCGAGGGTAGGGTGGGACACAAAAGGGAATCAAAGCTTTACATTGAAATATATAAGAAAAATATTTTAGAATTTTCTCTTCAAGAACCACTGGACCAGAAAAAATGAAACTTTGGAAACTTACTGAGGTAGTCTAGATTGTAAATTGATTAGATCATGTTCTTCAGGGATAAGATCGGTCCAAAATTGGGATTTCATAGGTAAAAATCTTCAAAACTCATCTTCTAAAAAACAGCGAAGTCATGATGAAACAATTAAAGTGCATCCTCTAA